GATCCCCCCATCACATCAGAGGTCCCCCCCATCACACCAGAGGCCACCCCCCATCACATCAGAGGTCCTCCCATCACATCAGAGCCTCCCCTTATATTTGAGTCCCCCTTTCACATCAGAGGCCCCCCCATCACACCAGAGCATCACTTTACATTAGCGTCCCCCCTTCACATCAGTGCCTCCCTTTACATTAAAATCCCCCTTCACATCAGGGTCCCCCATCACAGCAGAGGTCTCCATCACATCAGAGGTCCCCATCACATCAGAGTCTCCCTTTACATTAGAGTCCCCTTTCACATCAGAAGTCCCCCCATCACACCAGAGCCTCTCTTTATATCAAAGTCTCCCCTTTACATCAGAGGTTCCTCCTTTATGTCAGAGATTTCCCCATGATATCATAGTCCTCCTTTAATGTCAAAGTCCTCTCCATCATATCAATGTCCCCCTACACATCAGAGACTCCCTAAACATGAAAGCCCCCATTGAATCAGAGTCATTTCTATACACCAGAGGCCCCCTATAGACGAGTCCACCTATCACATAAGAGCCTCCCCATCATTACAGAGTACCCCCATGACATCACAGCTCCCCTCACATCATACAGATTCCCCATCACAGAGCCTCTCAATCACAGAGCTCCTCAATAATAGAGTCCTGTGGCACCCTGGTTAAGAAAAACTGCCACATTCAATCCAAAACTAAAATAAAGCTTTGACTTTTGAAGACGTACTTTAACCATTTGGATGGTTTCTCCTTATGTCAGGACCACTCTTTATATCAGCGTCATCTTTTACTGAAAACAGTGCAGCGAAATCCATGTCATTTTCATGCCATATTAAATCTGAACTCCAGGGAGAAAAAAAAAGAAGCAGTTACTGCAGCTACACATGTAATAAAAATCAGTAAATTAAATGTATTGAAATGCAGCCAATGTAGATACCGGGACGTGTCTTCATACCATCTCCTGGGGGTGGGGAGGTAGCACTAGCAGCCAATATAAAATGCTGCCGTACACATCTGGAGAGAATAAAAATGCTAACTGTAAAAAAAAAGCACACTGGGTAAGAGATGACCTCATCACCCCGCTGACCAATCAGACCAATCCACTCTGCTGCTCTAGTGAATGTCGAGGACGAGGCTGTGCTGTCT